TGTGTGGGGGGGTGCATTTATAAACATGTTCAGACCATGTCACTCAGACAGAAGTGGCTGCCACACGGATACGCTAGTCATTCCACTCATCCAGAAGATAGCTACATGCAAAGGCTGACATAAGACTGTTAAAAACCTGTAAAATATTTTATTCCTGGATGTAGCATATTGCGTGTTGACTTAGAAGCACACACATGACAGGTATACAACTTTGTGTTCCTCCCTGTCTTCATTGTCTCCCAAGACTGGACTGGGTAATAACAGTTTAAAGTGGAACTGTGTGCAGTACCCTAGCAGCATTTTGCAAGACTCAGGCATCTGGATGCCCTATCTTTGGACTTCACACAAGAACTCAACAATTTAAAATCTAGAACTTTCACCAGGCATGGTAGCACATGCCTTTAATCCCAGCACTTTGGAGGCAGAGGCAGGCGGATCTCTATGAGTTTGAGGCCAGCCTGGTTTACAGAGCAAGTTCTAGGAGTCAGAGCGGTTACACAAAAAACCCGTCTCAAAAAACAAAAACCAAACAAACAAACAAAAATCTAGATCTTTCACCTAAACAGCTGGACAGCTGTGAGACCTCTAGGCACTCCCTTCAGTTACAGGCATTGATGTGGGAGATAAACTTGTGTTCTGTCATCAGAAGCGAGGCTGAAGGCATCAATGAACTTTACTACTTCGTGAGAAGCCCATGTGGTGGCTAGGGTCAGTCAAACAATAGTCCAAGTCCTCAGTCCACAGCTCTTCAGGTGTAATGTGCTGTGCCCCAAAAGCTGCCGGGCAAAGTTCACCATGATGTTCTGGAGCCAGTCAGCGGCATGAAGAGCTGAGACACAAGAGCACCCCAAAAGACCACTCCCACCTGTCGCTAAGAAGGTCTTGCTCTGGCTTTTTTCAGCTTAATGTCCCTCTCTCTTTGCTCCCATCAGTGAGGTCTGGCCTTGGTGTTCTCTTCACTGGACCCTAATATCATAGCCTTGATGCCAAGACAGACTACCCCAAACTGCCTCAACCTCTTAAACTTTGTTTTATATGTTGGGTGTGTGTGTGTGTGTGTGTGTGTACATGCACTATGATAGATGTATGAAGGTCAGAGGACGATTTGGGGGAGCTGGTTCTATTATATAGGATGTGGGGATCCAAATCAGGTCATCAGGCTCGGCAGTAAGTGCCTGAGCTCAGTTTCTGTAAAGTACTGCCAGGGTACTTTACAGGCTGCAAAGCCATCTAGCTGGCCCTTGACCACTTTCTTCCCGGGAAGTATCCTTACTTAAGACCTATTGCCAGGTGCAGGCTACACATCCTTCTTCCCTGGCCAAAGGACCACCTCACCTTACTCAGAGCAACATGGCTGAAAGATGCTGTTCTCAGCTTCCGGAGGTTTCTGGTTTGGTCACAGTTATCCAATCAAAAAATAACGATGACACACTATGAAAGACAAAGACTGACACACCCTGAAAAGGACAGCCAGGACTGGTGACCTCTGCTGTGTTCTTGTCTCCAAGGACTTTCCTTATCCTCCCTATCAAAGGGTAAGACTTTGGTGCCTCTCAATGCGGATTTGTTATCATGCCCCTAGTCAGGGAGGAGAAATAACCCCTGTGCCTTTTGTTTGGGTGATGTATGCGGTGGTTGGAGGAATGAGTTCAAAAAAAGCTTCTTTGATATCAGAGTATGGCAGAGCATGGCTTCCTACTTCATCCATCACTGGAGAAATTAGGTTAGGAACCATTAGCAATCCCAGGGTAGTCATCCACAACAGGGACAAAACTTTCTCTTGTGAAGCCAGTGTTTTATGCACCACCCCTCCCCGCAATGGTATCAAAGATGGCCCTTTTCAGTGTAATTTTTCACTTCTGGGTAAAATGTGCAACCTTCAGATGGCCAGGACCACAGTGATCCTGGGAACTGCAATGTGTAGTAGCAGACATCCCTTAAGCAAGGTCAATATGAAAATGGACTTCAGGCTCACAAACTCTAACTGCACAGCAAATGGGAAAGCAAAGCCCACTACAATGGTCTAGGAAAGACTCCCACGACAGCGGATCTCATGCAGCGCCCATATGGTGGCTCACAACCATCTGGAACTCCAGGTCCAGAGGATCCAGCAGTTTTAACTCCACTGGCCTGGTGACCGTCCTGCTGCACTTCAGACCTCTGTGCTCCCAGGAACCTGCTCTGTTCATCCGCTCCAGCCCAGAGTGCTAACCCCAACCAGTGCACACACCTGGGAGTTTGGTCATTCTTCTAATGGTGACATCATTATTCCCACTGTCAATCAGTTCATCAAGACTGACATCGCACACAAAAAGGCACATCTTCTATCTTCTTCAATTATAAAGTCTAGGCTGTCCAGTTTCATGTCAACTCGACACAAGCTGGAGTCATCAGAGAGGAGGAGGCCTCAATTGAGAAAATGCCTCCATTAAATCTGGGCTGTAAGCAAGCCTGTAGTGCATTTTCTTAATTAGTGACTGATGTTGGAGGGCCCAGCCCATTGTAGGTGGGGCCACCCCTGGACTGTTAGTCCTGGGTTCTGCAAGTAAGCAGGCTGAGCAAGCCAGTCAGCAGCACCCCTCCACAGCCTCTGCATCAGCTCCTGCCTCCAGGTTCCTGCCCTGCTTACGTTCCTGCCCTCACTGCTTTTGATGATGAACTGTTATATGGAACCGTGAGTGAAATAAACCCTTTCCTCCCCGAGTTGCTCTTGGTCATGGTGTTTCATCACAACAATAGTAACCCTAACTAAGACAGCCCCTTTTGCCCTCTCTCCAATTCACAGTGGTTCTACTTTTTGGTTTTGTTTTACTCTGGCTATATTTAGAAGCCATCCAGAAAACACTGAATACGACGACTTTAGGTAGGTATGACTCGACTGGTTTGCTATGGAGCTTGAGTCATATTTGAGTAATGAAATAAACAAAGTAAAATGCAGAGCAAGCGCCAGAGTCACCTCTTTCCCATCTGTAACGTCCTCAGCTCAGGGAAGCACACTTTTACAACTTGCTGACTCTCAGAGAACAAATGGTACCACTTCATTTGTAGCAAGAACGACTTCTTACTTCCTTCTTAGAGAAGACACTTCTCTTGACTTAGTGGTTAGTACAAAAAGAAAAGCCAGAGAAGTATATAACACACTTCCAACACACTCATGTGGGAGCGCTTTACAATCTCTAAGGTCCCCAAAACAACACAAAATAGGGTTCGAGTCACTTCCCACATCAAGCAGGGAACCCAGTTACAATCTTCCCAGGATTCAAGTGAGTGTCTGGGGATGTCAATAGGCACACAGCTGTAGAAGCCAGCAGCAGAACATTTAAGAACAAACCCACAGAGCTAGGAGGGAAACATAGACACCCTGGAATCCAGTGGCCACTGGAACCCTGGGAGACACTCTAACAGAACACCCCCACGTCCCCACACACAGCCCTTCCAGACCTGAGCTGTCATTCATGCGGCACTGGGAGGGAGCCCGAGGAAGGGTAGGTAGCCCCCCTTCTTTTCACTGCTGAAGTTCTGATCGTAATTTTGCTTTTATAGCACCAGGGATGCTGCCTTCCTGTAAGTACTCAGTGTCCTCTTCCTTGCTCAGGAATTACTCTACAGCAATAAAATCCCTCCTGCATGGTAGACCTTCAAATGTCTGAAGACCATTAGGACACGGGCCCTTCCCTGCCAAATGCTTCTGTGGGGATGAAACATCAGAGCCTACCCAGCTGGTCTGGAACTTGCACTTGGAGCAGCCTCTGTATGTATGGCACTGCTGGGCGCCTCGCCACTGCCCTCAGAGTATATGAAGTTTAGGAGATAGTTAATCTTAGCTAATAAATGTGTCGCCCAGTATGCATTAGGATCTATTTATGGCTGACCTTGTTTTAGACAGAAGGAAAAAAGCTCTGCATATTTTCTTGCCAGAAATACGAGAGAATGCTTTACAAGTATTTCTTAAAAGCATCAACATTGTAATTAACATCAGTCCTGCCACAAACACATCCTGACAATTAGATAATGAGGCTAAAATCGATTTTCCAACCTAGGACAGATGAGCATTAAGAACCCAGAATGAGTGAGCTATTCTAAACAAAAGGATTCATGTGTCTGAGAAAGTCAATGTCAAAAATGTCTAATTTCCAAAACATCAATTTGAGATATTTAAGTGTTACAGGAAAATTCTGGTCCATGTTTACGCTGTGTGGAGCCCTGCGTTCAGTCTTCCACACTGCAAACCCAAAAAGAAAAATCTTAACGAAACTAATTGATAATAATATGTTACCGAGAAGGAGCAAGTCAAATTATTTTAAGGCTTTTTAGTAGTGGTATACCCGTGTACACAAGTCTTAAAGCCTTTCTTCCAAACATATTATAATATTCAGCCATTTAGGTGAATAGTTAGTTCACCAAAAGGAAAACGAGAAAAACTGGAGGTAAAAGTCATTTGGAATGCTAGCATCTTTTTCCTTACAACTGAATGGCAAGAGAATGCCGGGGAATTCTTGTCTGTGCACATAAATAATAATACCAGTGCTATTTAAATAAATTCCAAACTTAGTTTGTAGCCAGCGATCCTGGTTTTAACACTCTTTTTCTTTGAGACAGGGTCTCACCATGTAGCCCCGGCTTGTCTGGAACTCGCCATGTAGCCAAGGTTGGCCTCCAACTCGGGAGATCCACCTGCTTCTGTCTCCCGAGGAGAGCTGAAATTTAAAGGCGTGCGCCATCACGCTCCAGCTGCTTTGAACACTCCTAAAGGTGTCTGGAAGCCCGTACTTTGTTATGAAACCGACTGGTGCCACCTGTCCCAGGGCACGGTCACATTTTTCTCCTGGGCCACCCCACTGTCATCCGTGGACGAGACCGTGCAGCGAAAGACAACTCGAGGCTTGACATTAGCCCGCAGGGCCCCGGGTCGAGCCCGAGGACTCCGACCGCAACCCGGGGGAGAGCGTGGCCAGCGCGCGGGTCCGCGGGTCCCCGGGAGCCCAGGGCGGAGTACTTACGCGGAGCCTCCCGGCCGCCAGGGCTGCAGGTCCGGGATGCTGCAGGTGTGGCGCGGCCGGGCGGGCGGCCGGGGCCCA